GGGGAGGTTGGGGGGGTGGTAAAAACGTCCCGTGTCTTCGTTGTTATCCAGTTGCTTCGGTGAAGACACTTCATGTTACGTTGCACACGTCTTTTGTTCTTCGGTGAACACACTTCATGTTACGTTGCACGCGTCTTTTGTACTTCGGTGAAGACACATCATGTTACGTTGCACACGTCTTTTGTTCTTCGGTGAACACACTTCATGTTACGTTGCACGCGTCTTTTGTACTTCGGTGAACACACTTCATGTTACGTTGCACGCGTCTTTTGTACTTCGGTGAAGACACTTCATGTTACGTTGCGCACGTCTGTTCTTCGGTGAACACATTTCATGTTACGTTGCACGCGTCTTTTGTACTTCGGTGAAGACACTTCATGTTACGTTGCACGCGTCTTTTGTTCTTCGGTGAACACACTTCATGTTACGTTGCACGCGTCTTTTGTTCTTCGGTGAAGGCACTTCATGTTACGTTGCACGCGTCTTTTGTTCTTCGGTGAACACACTTCATGTTACGTTGCACGCGTCTTTTGTTCTTCGGTGAAGACACTTCATGTTACGTTGCACACGTCTTTTGTTCTTCGGTGAACACACTACATGTTACGTTGCACGCGTCTTTTGTTCTTCGGTGAACACACTTCATGTTACGTTGCACGCGTCTTTTGTACTTCGGTGAAGACACTTCATGTTACGTTGCACACGTCTTTTGTTCTTCGGTGAACACACTTCATGTTAAGTTGCACGCGTCTTTTGTACTTCGGTAAAGACACTTCATGTTACGTTGCACGCGTCTTTTGTTCTTCGGTGAAGGCACTTCATGTTACGTTGCACGCGTCTTTTGTTCTTCGGTGAAGACACTTCATGTTACGTTGCACGCGTCTTTTGTTCTTCGGTGAACACACTTCATGTTACGTTGCACGCGTCTTTTGTACTTCGGTGAAGACACTTCATGTTACGTTGCACACGTCTTTTGTTCTTCGGTGAACACACTTCATGTTACGTTGCACGCGTCTTTTGTACTTCGGTGAAGACACTTCATGTTACGTTGCACGCGTCTTTTGTTCTTCGGTGAACACACTTCATGTTACGTTGCACGCGTCTTTTGTTCTTCGGTGAAGACACTTCATGTTACGTTGCACGCGTCTTTTGTTCTTCGGTGAAGACACTTCATGTTACGTTGCACACGTCTTGTGTACTTCCGTGAAGACACATCATGTTACGTTGCACGCGTCTTTTGTTCTTCGGTGAAGACACTTCATGTTACGTTGTACACGTCTTTTGTTCTTCGGTGAACACACTTCATGTTACGTTGCACGCGTCTTTTGTTCTTCGGTGAAGACACTTCATGTTACGTTGCACACGTCTTGTGTACTTCCGTGAAGACACATCATGTTACGTTGCACGCGTCTTTTGTTCTTCGGTGAAGACACTTCATGTTACGTTGCACACGTCTTGTGTACTTCCGTGAAGACACATCATGTTACGTTGCACGCGTCTTTTGTTCTTCGGTGAAGACACTTCATGTTACGTTGCACACGTCTTGTGTACTTCCGTGAAGACACATCATGTTACGTTGCACATGTCTTTTGTACTTAGGTGAACACACGTCATGTTACGTTGCGCACGTCTTTTGTACTTCGCTGAAGACACTTCATGTTACGTTGCACAAAGACTGTGCGCCATGTCCAGCGAGGCAGCCCAAAGGTGCTTGCCCATACTGGAACAATAGATAATTGCTGGAAGGCCTGTAAAAAGATGCTGCCAGGTACTACTTTGTACTACCAAGTTTTGCACAAAACAATTCCCAGCAATACAAAGCACTTCCCAGTACTACTTTGTACTATATAGCCTGTCTAGCCAAAGTCCAATGGTCAAGACATATGTCAAGGCTTGGCAATGGCGGTACATTCATAGGAATGCAGATGTCTGCGACATCACTGCCAGGACTGTCCGCAAGTTGGTGTGAAGAGAAAAGAAGTGCTGGCGCTGTGGCGAAACACAAAACCATCCAAAAAACGTAACGTTTTTTGGAGGTGTGCTACATGCATTTTTGAACTCCCACTGCAATAATAACAAGACCTGAGAAGGGGTGGAACGAAAGCCAGCGCTTGTTTTTTGACTCGCGCGGGGGCGCGTGAAACTCCACCTCATCCATATGGCATGGCTCAAACATGAAGCGCCCCAACATCAACAATTGCTATCGGGTCATAATCTTCCAATCATTAAATGGACCTTTTTAGGGTAAACTCCACGATTTTGTAACTTCTATATCCAAATATGTTTCCTACAATGTACTGCGGCATTGTGAAAAGTTCTATCTCAAGTTCCGTAAATCCGCCTTTGGTTGCTCATTTATCTTAAAACAGCGCAAGTTTGCTCCCACCTATTGTAGATAAATAATACCCGCTTTTTTGTGTGAACAGTGGTCATGTGACCTCTCAAAGTCTAAATTGTTTTCTCCCCAGAATCGTGGTCCATGCTTCTCCGCGAAGTTCCGCAACATTTTGGCCGTACGGTGAGAAATCAAAACATAGCTCTACTCGCAAAATGGGCAGTGCAAACCCAAGACAATATTATAACATACGTAAGAAAGGGTATAAGAACGAATGAAAATCGAGGAAAACAATGCAAAACCCACGGGAAATATAGAACAGTGGCGAACATGCAGTCCAAATCAAAAGTATATATATTTAGGCCATTTACAGACCTGGGTACCCCCCCCCACCCCCCAAGGGTCTGGAAAATAGGTATTTTAGAGGAAATGTCGCGGAATAGCATCATCCCTGACATCGATAGAGATAATTGTCTGGCATCCCGGAAAATCTTCTCAGCTATCACACTCGCCAAACATCCCTTTTAAAAGGCACACATACTATCACGGACGTACAGATGCATATCATTCCCGTCATTGCCATTAGAAGATTCAATTTTTTTCTCGATGATTTAGTACAAGATTCACTTTTAGTTCTGTTTCAGCCTTCTCAGTACGGCCTCTTACAATGATATTACAGCATTTGTCTCCTAACCTAGGTGGCTCCTGGGCGCAATCTTCATTCCAATGCTTTGTGACAATAACCCAGAGGCCTGGAGCCTATGCATCACTTGACAGTCGACTCAGTTCTAAACCGGAAAGACTATTCCTTCCGTTTACCAGTAGATCGTTTTTGTAGTTCTTATCACAAAACTACCAGAATCAGGGAGGCACCAAAAATCGTCAAACAGCTTTAAGCATTATAAATACTCTAATCTGCAGATTGTATTTATTTTTTTTACTCTGTGAACGAAATCACACTTTTCTAACTTCACACAGATTACCATGAAACCAATTTTCCCATGCAACTCCTAAAATCTTACCACTCATACATCTTTTTTCCTATACCATCCGCATCTTGCTCCAAGGTTTCATGGCAATGTCTTGTACGCGAGTCAGCCACTATTTCCTATCACCAAACTACATTGCTCATCATCTAACATTATCTACAGAAACCAAATCGGATTTCCTGCTCTACGTTTCCGCTCGTTGACATTGTCTTGGTTTTCACTATATGTTTTAAAACATTTTTTAGTTATAACATTTTCCTAAGTTTTCACTGTATTTTTCTAACATGTTACATGCCTCCTAGCATGTTCACGCGTGTCCTCCATGTTGTACTGTTTTCTACATCGTTTCCTCTAGTTGTTACAAGCATTTCCTAGCTTGTACACCGTTTTCCTAATATTGTCACAACTTTTCTTCCAGTTTCCACTGCTTTTTCTACCGTTTCCTGTGGTTACTTTCTTCCCTTTTGTAGGTTTTCACTGTGTTTTGTCCAGCTTTTTTTATTACATGCTTCCTACCATTTTCACCGCTTTCCTCTATGGCTTTTTGTACCATTTCCTCTCGTTTCCTGCATTTCTTGCATTTTCAATGTATTTTTCCAAGAGTTTTACCCCTCTCCTTCAATTTCCGATCGTTTTTGCACCATTTCCTCTGGTTGTTATCGCATTTTCCTGCACTTTCACTGTATTTTTCCAGCATGTTTACTGCATCGTCATAGTTTGTTCCTAGCAGTCGCTCCGGTTTCCTCCATGTTCCAACAGATTTTGCACCCTTTATTCTGGTTGTTATCACATTTTCCTGCCAGGTTGTTATCACATTTTCCGTCACTGTATCTTTCCAGCATTTTCCAGTGGATTTTGCACGATTTCCTCTGATTGTTATCATGTTTTCCTGCAGTTTCTATATCCTCTTCGTGGGTTTTCAGTCTATTCATGCATTTTTAATCTATTTTTCCAAGATTTTTACCCGTCTCCTTTTTGCACCATTTCCTCTGGCTTGCTGCATTTTCAATGTATTTTTCCAAGAGTTTTACCCGTCTCCTTCATTTTCCGATCGTTTTTGCACCATTTCCTCTGGTTGTTATTGCATTTTCCTGCACTTTCACTGTCTTTTTCCAACATGTTTACTGCATCGTCATAGTTTGTTCCTAGCAGTCACTCCGGTTTCGTCCATGTTCCAACAGATTTTGCATGGTTTGTTCCTAGCATTTTCCTCTGATCGTTATCATGTTTTCCTCAAGTTTCATTGTATTTTCCAATACATCCTCTTCGTGGGTTTTCAATATGTTTTGTCCAGCATTTTTTACTACATGTTTCCTATCATTTTCACCTCTTTCCTCCATAGGTTTTTGCACCATTTCCTCTGGTTTCCTGCATTTTCATACCTTTTCAATATTAATATTAATCCAAGAGTTTTACCTGTCTCCTTCATTTTCCGATCCTTTTTGCACCATGTCCTCTCGTTGTTATCACATTTTCCTGCACTTTCACTGTATTTGTTTACTGTATCGTCATGGTTTGCGCCTAGCATTCGCTCCGGTCTCCTCCATTTTCCAAGGGATTTTCCATGGTTTGTTCCTAGCATTCGCTCCGTTTTCGTCCGTTTTCCAGGGGATTTTGTACGATTTCCTCTGATCGTTATCATGTTTTCCTGCAGTTTCATTGTATTTTCCAATACATCCTCATGGTCTCTCCGGCCACCAAAAAGGCGGACCTAGGGGGAATCGATACCCCACCGTCAGCAAATTGCCTAGTGGTACATAATCCAGCAAAATGCTCCGTTTTCTGGCGCTCAACACAGGGGCACGGCGAGATTTCGTTCCCTTTCGGCAACCCCCCCCCCCACACCCCCTATTCTCACTTCGTTCGCAAACAGCAACTAGCCAGCTAGCTGGCTTTCGTAATTTTTCATAAACCCCAACGGAAATGAAATGCCAAAAGAAACCGCCATGAGTGTAAACATGTGGCAAATGCCAAGATTTCAACAAGACGAAAAACGGAATGATCATAGAACATGATGAAAACGCTGGGCCGATTTCCGGGCCGTTCGGAAATGTTCGGAAGTTTTTGTAAGGAAACAGCCAGGTGCTCATCATCCACATTTTCCCAAAGAAGCCGATTCCGAAAAAATGGCCGCCTGCCATAAATCCAATGATCTCATGGCCATTGCCCTGGCAAAAGCCCATCTTTCGCACATCTTCCAGCTGTTTGATCTTCAAGTCACAGTTGGCCTTCCTTGGTTTCGGAATCGCCGGCTGTGTCAATCTCTCTTCTACTGGTTTTTTGCAGGCGATTTTTTCTTCCCTTCAGGAGCTGACCCCGAATGATGGGCCAATGGCTAATATGAAGGTGGGCTGAAGTGTACAGTATTCCTGGTGTTTGCTCGTCATACCCATAGATATGTCTATTAATCATTTGTATATATAAAATATCTAGACCCCGTACAATCCGCAATCACAGGTTTATTGAAACTGCTCAAGCAAAACCCTGCCATGCTGAATTCGCCCAGTTACAGAAGCACCTTGTGGGGAGTCAGATTGCAATAGACCACGCCAGCCGAATGCAAGTAGCACCTGGCAACACACCACGGACAACAGCCACAGGGGATACCCTCTTCAAACGTGACTGGAAAATTGCCTAGAAATGGAAGTTTTTGTTCCTGGGAAACTCCTCAAAGCTCGACCCCAGACTTCACTTCTTGGTGGGGCAAATGCCTTTTAGATGCCCAATCGAGGTGCAATGCTTCCAAGATCTGGTACATGAAATATCTGCAGTGATCTTCCTTAGCTGCCAGGCTGCCAGGTGCCACCCCCTTTTTTTCATATTAGGGGTATGATCTGGCAAACCCAATGGCAACCCCCATCCGCATGGTTTTGTTGGCTTGTCATGACCCGAATTGGTAAAATTCTGCCAAAGCTACATGTGCTATCATTGCATAACTGATCCCTTTGGTTAGACACGGTCGCCAATTCAACCCATGTCGCGGAAACAGCGAATCCCTTAAGTCCAGTCGTTGGCAGTAGAGTTGCTACATAACATTAATGGATATCATCTCTAACGCGCGATGATTCACAAAATATGTAGAGATATAACTAACAGTAGACATTCCAATCCGTGATCCCCTCTTAAAATTCGACCCATTCCAACATCTTCCGGCTAGATATGCCCCAAATGCCCCAAGCTTCCGTAAGCTCCTGCTTGCTGCGGATCACATTCCCCAGATCCGTGTCCATCCACTCGGTGATCATGCAGAAGTGCGGATCGCTGATGGGCGGCACGTCCAACAGGCGCACCTTGGGAGGTCGGGGGCGGAAAAACACGGCTGTTTTTCGGCACCAAAACGCTGAGCCCGGGCAAGGAATGGCACACCTTCAGATATGGAGGTTTCCTTGAAATAGGGCTACCCCATTTTTTCCCCCCAAATCATCCAAAAATGCATGGCATTTTCAGAAAAACCATCGATTTCGGGGGTACCCCCATGTATAATTCAACCCTCATCTGGCGGAGTTTCCCAGCGCCAACACATCTGTCATTGATCCAGGAAGATGGGAGATGGATTCCAGCCACGGATTTGATGACCGTTAGGGGTATAGGTCCCACATGTTCCCATCCAAGCAATCAGGGGTTGTTGATGTATGTTGTATACCAGCGCAATCATCTGGAACAATGGGTTATGCTACAGCCCATTTTTGGCCCCAACTGATTTGGATTGATTTGGTAATCAAAGATGGGAATGGAAAATCAGCCATAAAACTATCCATTTTATGCCGATGGTTTTCTCATGACATATTTGGATTTGTCAGTTCCAGGTTGGAACCCACACGTTTCACAGGGCAATGGATTGGTTTCAGGGAAATAGATCTACAGGAAAGCATGCTTGTGACCCCCGAAGCTCAGGGTTGCGAATTTCCCCTTCAACCAATTCGCCTGAGAAACGGGGGCGATGAACTATAAAACAGTTGATGACAAAAATGGTGTCTTTGAACTGCCGGGCTTGATCATCGCAAGGTCAATGAAGTTCCGCTACGATTTTTTCCCTTCCACCTGGGGTCATAAATTTTCTGGGTCACTGTAACTTATAGTGGCTGTAACCTTTAGAATTGAGATTTCATATCCGTTGGTTGGTTGCTTATAATACTATGTGTGTTCATCAATGTGGCACAAACCCAATAAGAAAGCAGAATGACCAAACATGATATGCTATTTTGTCTTGTCATGAGCCGAGCTTTATTGGCTCATTATTTGGTTCAATGCATTGCCAAGTGGTTCAACAGAGCTAGTTACTTTCTGATCCACCATGCCTACTAAAAACTACAAAAATCATATCCCTGGTTCATCCTGGTTCTCAGGACCAACGTTCCTCCCACTTTGAGTTTCGCATTTTGCCCACTAAGCAAAACGCCAAAATAAACCAAGTCGTTCCGCTGTCAAAGCAGTGGGATGACCTGGATAAAGGGTCAATAGATTGGTAGGGAACTTCTACAGGAAACCCCTATGTTTCATGGGAGGATCTGTTTTCATAGTGAACTGATTCCCGCCCCATCCCCAGGGCAGAACAAGTTAGTACCCGTCTGAAATTGGGGGAAATTCACGAAAAAACACTATAGTTCTATATTGAGAATGGTGACTAACTCGCCAATGGATTTAGAACATGTTCGGAGCCTCAATACGGTATTAGCTAGGGAATGGCAGGCATGGAAGTTAACATTTTGTCAAGGATGGGAAACCGGACACGATTTCTGGTGTCCATTATGGGCTCATCCTACAACTTATCAGTCCTCATCTGTGGAAGGCCACCCGTATTGTTTAATCCTCATGGCTTTCAACACGGCTCCAAGCTACCAAGTTCGGATGCTTCAAATGTTTCATCATAAAGACGTCCTGGCGCTGAGCGTTTCCGTTGATCCCCCACCGCCTAGAACCAGAGGCGCCCTGTGAGAGACCAAGGCACTTCAACCGCCAAACATGCCAGTCTTACTATATTGTATTATGTTATCTTCATTTGTTCCAGTGAATCAATCGATCGATCTATCTGTCTGTCTATCTATCTATCTATCTAAGCTGTCTGTCTGTCTGTCTATCTATCTATCTATCTATGTATCCATCTGTCCATCCAGCCATCCATCCACCTGTCTAGTCCAATCTTATTGTAACATTACTTCAGATAAGAACAAACACGAATGTATATTATATTATTATATTATATTATATTATATGTTGTTATATTATATTATATTATATTATATTCTAGCAAATTGCATTTAGAAAAAAAAAGCAACGATACTGTCAAATACAAAATGCATCCGATAAAATCAGATAACGACAAGACACAATGTCTTAGACAAGATACAATTGCATACCATATGCAAAGCCAAACGGAATGAATAATTCCATTACCCTGTGGTAGTTTGTTACAGTTTGATATTGAAAAAGGCACAGAAATAGTTGATTTGCCGAACTTACCCTCTGGTAATTTAACGTAGCTATGGAAAATCACCATTTTTAATGGGTAAATCAACTATTTCAATGGCCATTTCCAATAGCTACGTTAAATTGCCAGAGGGTAAAGATGCTGATTTTCCAGTTCGCAGTTAGTTTACCAGAGGGCACCGAGCCATGGACCAGTCCACCGGTCCTTCACCAGACTCTGCAGCGGTTGCCTCGGCGGACCGGTTGGTTTCAGCCAGATATAGCCAGATATCCCAATGTTTCAGGAAGAGAACCCCCATGAATATTGGGATATATAACTGCGGAAAAGCCACCTATTGTCCATTTACTTTGCTATTAATCGATGATAAATGGTGGCTTGTCCGCCCTATACATGTTAATTGACTGGAAAATATCAGGGTAAATAGGATTGTAGATAGCATCTGCTACATCTCGTAAAACTCCTCTATCCATTTTGGCGGTTCCCCTATGCATCGAGAAAATGGGAAAGTTACTACCTGTCTGATTGGTGGTGCAACCCTGGAAGGAAAAAAAAACTGTCACCAAAATGGATGACAAGAAACATATTTTAGAGCACTCAACATAGGGGAATAACGAAATCAAACGACTCGACATAGAAAAACAATGCATACTTGCTTACATGCCAAATGTATTCATAATGTTTCACTAATTGCATATGATATACATATATATATATATACATACCTAAATATATGTATATAGAATATATACCTGTGCGTGTGTGTTTTGCATATGTATGTACATAACATGTATTTTACTTATTTACATATCGATTTATGTGCACCTTTGCGGGTGTTTGCACCCAAGCAACCCGTCGCGGTTTGGAATCTGCACGTTCTGATAGAAGGACACCATCACCCGCTTTCCAGTGAAGCAGTCCCGGAAACGGAAGGCCGTCATGCGATGTCCCTGACGTCGGGATCGCTCCAGTGGATGATGGGTATTACCAAAAATGGTGGTAATAAAATGGGGAGATGAGCCATGAAAATTGAGATAGCCTCCGGTAATTTAACATCCATTGACAGATGATTTTCCGATTCAACCCTCCATTTTGATCGGAGATTTCCCAGTCAGGGATGTTTGATTCGCAGAGGCTATCTACAATCATGAGGGTAGCAAGGCAAGGTGTTCCCACATTCCAAATTCCAAGCCCATATTTTTACAGATTCCATCTGTTTTGGAGGGATATGCAATTGTGAGAGGAAACCTTTCAGGAAATGAAGGTAGATTTGAACGATCCAAACACCACAGGCACCTCTACACCAAGTCCGGGAGCGGACAACTCAATAGTTCAAGCTTGGTTTAAGCCACGCAAAGATGTGACGTGAAGACTCATGATGTCATCATCCATACTCCATCACCATGTTGTGATGCCAGCTAGACACTGGAACAATTTGTTCGTTCCACTGCGAAAATGTTGTGCGAAAATGTTTGACCATGAAACCATGCAGCCTTTCCGGTTAAATTGTTCCCTTAAACCAAATCCCATGGATGGCAGGTTCCAACCCCCCAATATTTCAGGTTTTCTAAAATGGGGGTACCCCAAATCATCCCAGTCAGACTTCAACAATTTTGGGATTGACACCCGGCCGGACTTGGGGATTTTGATGGATTTTGCGAGTCCCCCCATTTTGAGATGTTTAAGAAACCCCCACGTATCATCCCTTGCCTATAGCAGTTCTGTTTTTGCTGGGGATGAGCGGATGAAAGGATGACCCAAAAAAAACCACAAAAAACCTGTTGAACTGTCCCCATTTTCAGAAACCCACCAGGCACCTTCCGAAGGACTTTCTCCTTCACCAGCCGCGCAGGCAGTTGCTGGGAGAAATCCTCCTGAGTGTCGTACTTCACCCTGTCAAACCTTCGGAAATTACTGGAAAACCAGGGGATTTTTAACACCCAAAAAATATGATCATTTCATGGGATCCAACCGCAAAAAAATTTATGAATTGATGGGGATTTGCCCTCGGTTTCACATTCAGAAATGATCTACATGGTTTGACCAGAGTTCCTTAATAGTCTTCTGAAGGCGAATGAGTGATGTGAAACCGAACCGCAAACTCCAAGTCTGCCAAGTCTATGAAGCCATTCAAAGAAGAAAAATGATGCGAAATTTGAAATGACGGATGGTGTGCCATGAGTTCTTCCATATTCCTTACTATCAATTCGATCAACTAAAGCATCAAAGCTGAGGAAATGGCCAGAAAACTTCACTTCAAAGCAGTTTTGTCCAGCAATCCTTATTCAAGTTTCCACTCCTGGTTGTCTCGACAGGATGTCTGATGTGTCAAGTATATTTACCCTCTGGTAATTTAACATAGCTATTGAACATGGCCATTTATAGTGGATTTACCCATTAAAAATGGTGATTTTCCATCGTTTTTTGTATGTTTACCATTGTTTACCAGGGGGTAACATGTCTGGTTGGTGCTGCCCACCTCCAAAAATCCTCAAAAATCTCACCTTGGATCCTCATCCTGATTCATACCCATGTAACATTTAGTCAATTGATCCATATGGATTGACATTGTTTATAAGGATATGTGCATGTATTTAAACATTGTTTATTTGAATATATATATATATACATATGTATGAATATAAATACATATATATATATGTGTGTGTGTGTATGTATATACATATATATATATATATTATGCGTGTATATGTATATATGAATATGTATATATGTATGTATATAATATACACGTATGTATATATATATACATATATACAGATACATATGTATATGTTATTATGTGCTTTGATGGTAAATCTTCGTTTATTGATGTTTACACCGTATACCATACATATCCACACGTAAATCCGTGTGCATATCCCCAGCCAATTGATTGACTCAAATGGATTACATTGTTGATGGTGCTTTAGTTTTGGCGTTATGCACACACATACAGTATACACGTATGTACCTCTCCCCATTTCTATCCCCATCTCTATCCCCATCTATTCATAATCTCCAAATCCAAACAGGGCCGTACCAAGCTTCCAACACCACTTCCTCAAAGGTTTCGCCCGCTACCAGCATGAGAGCCACTTCTTCTCCTTCAACGGCCTCGCCTAGAGCATCCTTGATGGGCACGTCGTAGAGGGCCACCACCTGAATGGCTGCACCCATGGAATGTCCATGGAATTTCTGTGGTTTTATGGATTTCAATGGAAAAACCCATGAAATTCTTTGGGTTTTCTTTATTTTCCATGAATTTCCACTGACTTTAGTACATATCATCTCCCCCCGTTTATTGCGACATTTTTTGTAACCGTTCACCTACCCTTCACCCGCTGGTTTACCCACAGATCGCACTATATCCCACGGTGATATTGCAACATGGAGGTCCTAAATCATCCATTTCTAGATAATATAGATATATATATATATATATGGGTAAATTATAATATTTCACTAACCTGAATTAAGGCCATTTGGGGATGATTTCCCTTACTAACCATGATTCCAGTGAGGTCGCAGTGAGGTCGTTATAATTTACCCAGATATATATAATGTTCCATCAGGTTCCATCAAACAAACATCCAGCTATTGTTGTACCACCATGACTTAGTAAACCTCCTCTGAGTTCAGCAGGATCTTTTGCAGTTCCGCAGGCACGCCTGGGTAAACCGGCACTTCGTGGTGAAAGCCCCAGGTTTCTTGGAATTCCTATGGGATTTACCGATTTACCATATCCAAATACCCTCTGGTAAACTACAGCTATGGAAAATCACCAGTTTTAATGGGAAAACTCACTATAAATTGCCATTTTCCATAGCTATGTTAAATTACCAGAGGGTATCCAGAGTGGAAATATTTCCACGCGGAATCATGTTCATCTGAATGGATGCATCCAAGATGGGTCGATGGAGATGGCGTACATCAAGAAACGTTGCTTTCCGCAGCCAAAGTGGTTGGTTTAGGGAGGTCAACCCCACGTTTTGTTCATCAAATCCACAGGTCAGCAGGGCCACCAACTATCAATCTGGATAGATCATAATAATTCACTAACCTGAACCATCATGAAAAGGTGACGTCGGGAAGTGATCATCATCAAATTTATCCAGATTATAGGTGGTTGTCGTATGCATCTCTATTTATATATATATTTTTTTTTTGTGTGTGTGTCTGTATGTACAGTACATGCCGTTATATCCCGGTTACAGAAACCTTTTTGGCGGGCTCAATGCCCACGTGTGGCGTAAATCTTGATTTCTGATTAGGTTATACAAGTATGTGTCTGATCAATATTTTTGCTTACCCTCTGGTAAACTAACATAGCTATTGAACATGGCCATTTATAGTGTTTTCCCATTAAAAATGGTGATTTTCCATAGCTGTAGTTTACCAGAGGGTAAATCATGTCAAATCCTGGGTCCACCACATCGACAAAGTGACTTTGATCATCATATAATCAAAAAAATCAACTTGGAACCAGTTCTTGTGGCCGATGCATATGGACATGCCACCTCCTTCATTATCATGTGGTTGGGAAAATTGATTCGTAGCTCCAACTGGCTCCCCATTTGGTAAAGGGAAATTCTGAATACCCCTAGTTCCGGTTTACGCCCTCCTAACCACTGGTTAGTTCATCACCCAATGTTAATTCAACATCAACCACACGTCTGCCCCTTCCACCATAATACATCATACCCTCCGAGGTAAACTAACATAAGAAGGTGGAAAACCCATGGTAAACCCCGTTCGGAATTCCTGATACATCAATGGTGGCTTTTCATGTTTTTTTCCACATCTATGTTACAGCAGTGAAAACCCAAAGAATGATACATGATGCTACTACTAATTAATATGAGTTGCATTTAGTTGCTAAGGATTAGCTAATTACAATATATTCTAGTATGGTTGAGGAAACCATAAGAAACCCCTAGAAACCCTGTGGGAAAAGACCGTCATTGAAGGTCCCCCGTAAATTCCACTGACATAATACTGTATATCATAACCTATGGTTAGTACATTAAACCATTCTGATCGTTCAGAATGATCCCATTTACAGTGGTTAAATCCCTTGACGTCACCTTGTTAAATCACCATGTTTCATGGTTCAATCCCAATTTCATGATACTTCAAGACCTGCATCCCATTATACATTCCATTGTTTTTGTGCTACACCAACCAATAAGCTATGATACTTCAAGACTTGCAGCCAACTGGGACCCTAACTGATCATATTATATCCCATTCTATCCCATTCTATCATCATAATCTGACTGCTATCCCAGTATATCCCATCATTTTTAGACCGCGCCAACCAGTCATCTATGGTTGATATGCCATTCTATCCCAAATTCTATGATCATAACCTGACCTATAACATCCCAATATATCCCAATATATCCCTATCTATCTATATATATACATATATATATACATATATATATACATATATATACATATATATATATACATACCTGATTGGTTGATACAAGGCTTCCCAACTGGGTCCCTGGGGTCCAAGTCACTGGTCCCCCATGTTGTCGCAAAGCTCTTCTCAATTCTCGCCCTGAGCTCGGACATCGTGCTGTCCCCGCTGAGGCTCAAGTCCTCAGGGCCGGAGCCACGTGGAGCCCGCGTCGCTGGGGTTGGGATGTTGCCAGGGTTGCCATAGTCATGGGGGTACCCCACTAGCTGGATTGCTTTTTAATGGAAAATCCTATCTATAAATGGAGGTGTCATAGGGGGTTTACGCGCTGGTATAAATCAACATCGATCATCCACCCTGAAAATCACCCATTTTATATAGTGGAAACTCATCTTCCGACCCCTATCTGCCAGGGAGGATATCTCTACAGCTACATCTATCGATTATCTTATCTCATCTATCATCTATATCTATCTACGTATATCGAATGCAATCTAGTCTCATCTTATCTATCCGCATATATGTATGTATATGTGTATGTATGTGTGTATATGTATGTGTCTATGCCATGTGTGCAAGTGTACGTATGTGAGTGTATAACACAGTGTATATATGTACGGTATGTGTGTATGTATATATATATACACACGTATGCATATATTTATGCATTTACTACATGTATGTGTATAACTGTGCATGTGTATGTTAAAAAAGAAAAAAAGTGTTTGGTTTTTTATGTCAATATATTATATCCGTGTTCTGATCTATCTACTTACATGTATACAGTATACAACCATGAAAAACATCGAGGTGTTTTTTAAACATGATGTGCAACGTTGCACCTTGAGCTTTCACTCTTTTGCTGTGATGCGGCCAGTCGAAGGTCGCACCTGTGAAGAGATTCTGCCCAACAATCCCATGGTTGATCATCATTGACCCATTCAAATTGCAAGTAAGTCTGGTGTACGCCCCATGGACAAATGGACAAACCCATGTAGATACGTATAAATGTAAATGTACATATTTTTTATATATACATATCGTATTATACACATGTATTTATATTACTATATATACATATGCACACAAGTTTTATTAATGCATATGCATATGAGTTGTTATCATTTTCTGAGGCAAAACACTAGGGACAAAGCCATGTCCTTCCAATCAACCTCAAAGACCTGTTTCAGTCAACTAGGGGATCATACCTGGTACATTTGTGTGTGTGTCTGATATATATATATATTTAATTAATATATATATAATATAAATATAATATAAAATATAATATATATATATATATCTGTCTATCTATCTGTCTATCTATCTGTCTATCTATCTGTCTATCTATCTGTCTATCTATCTGTCTATCTATCACTATGGGTATGTGCTTGTTTTTACCGTTTTTTGATACCAAACTTTCGCAACAAAGTGCGGCACTGAAAATCCCATCTCAGCTTCGAAAATGCGTTAATGGAATTTGTGTTCCAACAAAATGAGGGACAAAGCCATGTACAGGCCGTATTAATCTATATCTGTCTATCTATCCATCCATCCATCTAGCTATCTTTTATCCTTCTATCTTTCTGTCCATCCAAAATATACGAGTAGCAATCATGTTACAAAGCACCAGCATCTTTGGGGTTTTTGAAAAAAACACAGTTAATACATCAGTGGCTACCACACTATTGCGACTCCAAGCCTCAATTTCAATTCCCGACATCAAGGACACCTTGATCTGCATCTCCGGGTGCGGACCTCCCTCCGTCGACTGGGGCGACGATTGGGGCGGAGATGCATCGTCGGTCATGGCGAAGAAAGACGCCGCTGATGTGGAAATCGTGGCTTTTCTATGCCCATCATCCACAAAAACTCTGGAGATCATGTGGAAAACACAAACAAATGATCATCCCCCAGTGATGTTGTGGAAGAGATTGAGAAGATACCGAAGATACCAAGAAATCTGAAGCCGCCATGGATATCTTTTGCATACCTTCGAAATCCTTAGAAGGTTTCAAGGGTTCCACAAATTTCACACGGATCCTTATGAATTCCACTGATGCTGCCAGTGACTGCCTGGCCTCCTTTTAGCCCAGTGATCATGTCCTTAGAAGACTGGGATAATGTTTGTATATGTTGGCGCACCCGTTTTTGGTGGATTAATATGGATTAATATGGATTAACTACATCACTACTACATCTTGGATTTTGGGACTTTTAGGAGGCATGACACTTCCAAGGCTTCCGATTGAGGGTTCACTGCTGCAGGCGCAGCTAGAGCAAAAGTGTCACTGCGTGGCCCCAGGATGACGTGGGATTGTCATGTCTGAAAATGGGGAATGGTCCACCAGTTCATGGCTGTTCTCTAGATACGTTACATATATACAAATATATATATATATAGAATATATATATACATATATATATATATATATACTTCCACTGAGGCAGTTGGGGTATGATCTTGGGCTGTTTTAAGTTTTGATATGTGTTAACATATGTTCATATAGCTCAGTTGATGGGAAACATGATCAAACACAGCGGCCCCATCCATCGATGCGATGACGGCCATGGTGACTGACCCTACATGAGCAAAAGCCACGTATGTTTCGCCGTTTCGCCCGCCCCATGGATAGTAAAACATGCCAAAACAGTCAAAAATGTCCAGAATTCTTGGAATAGATCCGAAAGTCTTGGTGAAATCCCCCTATTTTTGATGGTTGAACCATGTTGAACCCCCTATCCATCTTGGATTTCTCTCGGAGCCTGGGATGGCCCGGGGCGCCTTTTTGGCCACTGGGCACCCGGACGTGAAATCCCAAGTTGCCGCCGGCCTCTGCCATCGTCTCTGCCAGGGCCGGGGGTGATAGCTTGGTGGCGATGATGTAGACCCCTTCCTGGCGATGGTCATGGCTGGGGTTTAAGGGAAAATTTACAGGAAAGCCCCATATTTAATGGGAAAATCTATGGTTTCCTGTAGATTTTCCCTTAAACCAATCCATTGACATTTAGTTTGATGATTTTCCCAGCCATCAGCTTCCTATTTTTTTTGAGTTCGGGAGATTTTCCAGCCAGGGATTCAACCAACAATAATTCGGGGATGTCAACCAAAATGGTGAAAATAATGGGGGGGTTAACCATCAAGAATTGTAGTTCAAGGTAGCATCCTGAAATATCTGAAATTGGGATAGTGATAGCTGATATAGTGTTACACTATTACCTGGGTCGTTTTTTCCCAAATGAACAGACCCAATACATTTCACACACAGGTTTCGATTTGGGGGCCCCAGAATAGGATGGTTGATGATGGGAGGGTTGATTTTGGGCCCTTGGAAGGTACCGGAACCATTGTACCTCATTTGATTCATTAATATTCCCCCATATTCCCCCTATATAACCCGACACCTTTGTGAAATTGCGATCCATGACCATCTGGGCAAAATTAGAGGGAATGCAAGATGCACAGCTCGTAGCTTTCATGAACTGTCTGGACTTAGACCCCCGCAAAATTGACTTTTAGGTATGCATTTGAGCCCCCGCAAGCCATCACAAGGCAGCATGTTTTTTCTTCAATCTCGACACTCACCACGTGGTTAGGGTCTATCAAGATCTCTGAAATGGCCAAAGTCCGTTGTAAGTTTATAGACGTTATGAAGCCAAATGCGCATGCAAGTACTCAAAATGGAGCTACCATGTCTTGGCCATGTTTGATGGGGTGGACATTCCCTCGCACAGGCCTCCCATTTCTCACCAGATTTCAGCAGGAATTCTACAAACATCTTAGATTCTTAGACCATCATAAATGATTCTAAATCATCTTGACTCATCTCACATCATTATAAATACCCTCTGGTAAACTAACATAGCTATGGAAAATCACCATTTTCAATGGGAAAATCCACTATAAATGGTCATTTTCAATAGCTATTTTGACATAACCAGAGGGTACTCTTCAATCATCTTAGATCATCTTAGATCATCTCAACTCACCTGGCACCTTGCCTCAGGCGCAGGCGGCAGCGCTTGCCGCACCAGCGCCAGAAGGCTCGGCAGCATCTGGGGAGCCTCTTCTTGAAGCCAGTCCCAAATGCCCGCCTTGGACGGCTACGGCTGAGTAAACGGCTGAGTAAACGGCTGGAAACCTGGGAAGACTTTGAGGGAAAACACCACCATGAAAACCACCATGGACCATGGATTTTGTTGATGGCAACAAAAATGCGAGTTGATTTCGTCACCCAAATCCCAGCAAATATCCAAGTTCACTGCTTCGTTTTTTGAAATGTTGCAGGTGGCCTTCGATTTTTTGAGCCCATTCAGACCCACCCAACCAAAAAAAAAATCTGTGGCTTCATGGCAGCTACAGCCCGCAGGATCTCCCTGGAAACAGGGCCTTGTCCAGCACCGCGCAGAAACGACCCAGTGGCCGTGGAGCGCCCTGCGACAGAAAGTCGCGCACCAGGAAGGTGAAGCCTGCCGAGATGGGCCCATGAAGACAAAGTTAAGATGGAACCCTAGAAATGTATCTAAAATTTATGTATTACATATCTGTATATTATATATATATAATGTATTTATTTAATCCATATTAATTCATATGAATTTATGGGCTTGAGACATGCCAAATAGATCTAAGGATAGGTCTTCCCACGAAAAAAGTTAGCTACAGTAGGTGAATCATTAACAATGTGGGGATATCCCTGTCAACTTAAAAGTAGAGATTCGTTTTTTCCGAATAGGGCACACCCAAATCCCATGGATCATCATGTCATATCATTTCCACCATCCAAATTGCAATGTTTTCAGGCATCCCCCATTTTCAGACACACCTATTTCATCAAAATCATCAAAGTTCACTTACCATCTGGTTATTTAACATAGCCATGGAAAATCACCATTTTTAATGGGAAAACTCACTATAAATGGCCATGTTCCATGGCTATGTTAAATAACCAGAGGGTAAATCATCTTAAATCCTGGTATCTCCCCATGTTGACCGTTTCAAACACCACCGGTTTTAACCGCCGCGCCTGGCCACTGCTCCACAGGGTACTTCTGGCGCATGCGTTGGATGACCTCGGGCACAATGTCCAGGTGCTCGGAGAGAGGGAAGCCTCCGCGTTGAACCACAGAAAACCAGGGGAATTTTGAAGTATAGTAATCATTAGTAATCCCCAAATCGATGGAAAAGTGAACCACCATCAAATCACTAGGGATATATGTTTCCATCTAATTTGGGGATGACCATATTGTTTGGGTGATCTCATCAAGAAAAAATCAAGAAAAGGTGTTGAAAATTCTTGGGTTTTACCATCAAACATGGGGGTTGAACATGGTGGGACCATCCTGCAACGTGGATTATATAGCGCATGTATACTGCATACGTATTATTATTTGTGGGACAAGTGAATAGGTCCAACACTAAACCAGGGGTTCGATTGGGAGGGGCTAGTTACTAGAAGAAAAGATTATAAGGGATGTGGGATACCCCAAAAATTGCCGTGTTCTCGATAGGAACATGCATTCAACATGTTTTTAACCCATAATGCCCCAATGCCACAAAACAGCCAACAAAATCCAATGAATATACGTTGATATGAGGTGATATGTCCCAAACGTCTGTCTAACCGTTATATAACTCAAACATCAACCATAGCAATTGAAAATTTATAGAAACCACGTGTTAAGTTCAAGCACACCGATACATGGAACAACCTACTCCGTGGCCGCGCCCCTGACCGGGCTTTGCGTCACCCTTGCACATGGGTGCAAAAGCGATGAGGAGATATGAGGAGAAAGTCACCACCCCTTGAAATAAAAAAACAGAAAGGGGCGCTGTGAGCCCGTATGTTTTTGCTGGGTGTTTGAGCTACAACTATCCCAAGCACATAAGTATTCTAAGGCACGGGCTTACAGCATTCCTTCAACATTCTGTCCAAATGTTTTCATGTTTGAATCTTCCTTCCAGATGTTTTGGATTGAAATTCCATATTCTTTCCACATGTTTGGGTTGAAGCGCGAGTAATGGAATTCTTTCCTGGCAAGGGCGCCATCGCCAAATTGCGGAGAGCCTTGTCTACCAAGCCGCTGGGCCATCCAAAGATGGGTGAGTCTGACTTTCTGATGGCTTTGCCAACGAAGCTGAGCATTTTCTGGAGGAGCGGGGGCCACATTTGAGCATGTATAGTCAAAGCCGGCATCAATTTCGTCACCGTCCTTCTCGTCAAAGGCACTTGTCTTTCCTGGCTTGCGAGTTGCCCGGCTGGACAGCTCAACGCATTTGAAGTGGCGACCTCCCAAGATCTCCCAAGCTCTCCAGAAAATACTGCAGCACCTTTCGTCCGACGGATTTTGGGTCATCCACTTTGCGCGGTATGGTGTGCCATGGACAAGGGATTTGACCAAGATTGGTGTGGTTTTGTTGGGGGAGCTGCAATGTTTCAGGATTGCATGGTGGCCGCCCAAATCCTTCGGGATGACTATCTGCATCTGGACGTTTCCGGGGACTTGATTCTTCAGACCAAAAGGCGAGGGAAGCTGCTGCAAGTCATGCTTCTCAATCGCATTTTTGTATGATGTTCCCAGCGCATGGAAGTCAATCTCACCCTGGTAGCCGACAATGACATCATAGATAGAAGTGCACCATGGGGCTTTCAGATGAGTTGAGCTCATCTTTTGGAAAGGCCAACCAATCAAAGCAACCTCTGGACAATTCTGGAGACACAGTGGCAGGAATGCTGCGCAGTGTCAGCCCATCAGTTACTTCTTTCAAATCATCGTAGGTCATATTTCGGCTTCCACAGCCATGGCCCAATAAGCAGATGGATAGATGAGACTGCCTTTTCTACTACTGAAGCTTAAGCGCGCACACGCATACACATGTACAAAACAATGAAGACAATGATGTTAACAATGCGCAAAAGGCAAAACATGTCATAGAAGGTGACTTCTGAGAAACCAGTGTTTTGCATGGAAATTGCACGGGCTGGGGACGCTCCCCTCTCAAAAAAAACACACCATTTATGCGTACATTCATTGGGCACAGGCAGGTGAGACGCACATTTCCTTTGATTTGAACACGCGTTTGGGCTTAGAAACGCCATGGCACATCATCAAAAGTTTGCTCATCTTTTAGGGGGATAAAATCTAACGGCATGTAACGTATTCAAATTACTAGGCAGTATGTGTGAAGCACGGTTCCATTGCAAGTTGGAGCTACATCCATATCTAGCGATCTGTTTCCATTAATGACCCACCTGCGCTGCTGCCCTCCGCGCGCACTGAAAGAAACAAGATACGAATGAAGTATAATGAAGTAGTATCTAAGGAACGATTTTGGGACAGCAAAACCTCATCGGCACACTACTGGCAATGTTCCACATGGCTTGCTGGGAAGAGCCCCCCCGTTATCAGTTATTTCGATGATTTTGCCAGATCGACCTTGATAAACCTTAAATTTCAAGGGAAATTCCCGCCCAACCCATGGTTGCCACCGGAGGTTCACCCCCAAGTGGATCAAGTGGGCCCTGCCCCACCTGCCCGATGCAGGTGCTCCGGAACGGGCGCATCGCCGCAGCCCAACTGCAACACAGGACCCAGTGATGGATCCGCGTAGGGCCGGACCAGGTCTTGCACAAATTCCTCGGAGGCTTGGTACCTGACGTTCAAGGCCCGACATCGGAGCACGATGGAAACCATAGACCATTGGAACATGATGATTTATCCAACAAGAATGGTGATTGAATGGGATTCATCGCTGATTTATGATAGCTAAGTTGGTTTGCTTGACTCAGGTTTATAGGGGATATAGCTATAGCATGCTATTGGCTATTAGCTAGTGGATGCTAATGGGGTGTATAAACCAAGTTATAAATGGAAGGGCAGGCCACCAATCCCAAACTCCTGTGGATGCCTCATAATGGATCATCTCCAAGGGTAGTACAACCCCAAAATCTTCATTAAGCAACTGGCTGGGGTTTATCCTGTTACTGTTAGTGTGGTTTATGGACTACAACCCGCTAGAATCATCACTCAATCAGAACGAGTTCGCCACCTTCTCAGGTCCCATTCTGAGGTGATGCTCCCATGAAAAACGCCTGTTTTCGAAGCTTCTCCGGCCACCCTCCCATTTAAATCAGGTCTAGTAAAGGCATCTGAGTCACCAACAACCCACTACGGCTGTATTAACCATCTGAATCTGAAAATAGGCTCCCCCTAGTTCCGATGATCATGATGATCATCACTTCCCTATCAAATCTTCCATTTTGATCCATGTTGGGCCTATCTTCCATTGACAAACCCAAATCATCATACCCCCCCTTATATCATATCATATCCCCATGTTCAATCCCCCTTAAGTCTCCCCATGATTTGGTGGTGTACACCACGGCCATGGGTCACCAATCCGTGTCGTTGGCGTCGGATTGAGCGCCCCACTCCCACTGCATCCCGGGCGGTGGGGCATCACGGGGATCGCCTCCATGAGCCGCAAGCTGCTGGAAGCGCCAGTGCCAAAAATCCTGGAAACGTAGGCGATTTTTGGCCATAGGATGCCATAGGAATAGTTGATTTACCATGATTTACCTTTGAAAAATGGTGATGTTCCATAGCTGTGCTAACATTCCAGATGGTAAAAGATGAAAACCCTGGATTTCAGCAAGTTGGGGTGCCCTATCGCGTCCGAGAGTTCAGCATCTTGCTGAAGGATTGGGGTCCTGATGTTGTCCCTTAAACATCCTTAAACATCTTTAAAATTATCTGAGGTGGAATAGCTGGAATCCAAATATGTCTATGTAAATAGAGCCTTTCGTTTTTGAAAGACCCAGGATGGACATGAAATAAACCTGCGAACTCTTTGATCTGACATTGGCGTGGCATGCGCACCCAAGAAATCTTCGGCTCCCCCTGTGCCTGCCACCAGCTGGGTTGACATTGCTGACAACCCTGCCGCCAGTCAGGCTGCGGAGCCGGCAGAAGGCGCCTAGGTGCCCGCAGAGGAAATCTACCGGAAAGCATGGCCTCCATGGAACTCCAAAAGGCCGCCCCAGATAACCACCCACAATAGGTGGTTTGAGAAGCCCCCGAAATCCCCCCACTGGGTGATGGGAGTAAACAACCACTTTACAAGTGTAGGCCTTGAGTGTTGGGGGGGTGACCCTTATCCAATATCTAGTGCCTAGCATGTTAATTGACTTGTTGGAACACAAGTTGAAGGCATCTGGAACATGAGCATCGGTATGCTGAGATATTTGAACTCATCATAATTTACATTAATTTACCAAGGTCACCATCATTTCAAGCTTTTTTAAACCATCAGCCATACCAATCATTTGCTAAGGGGGCGCCGCTGTCGACTCTGGAAGGCCCAGGCACGTCCAAGCAAAGTGCAGGGTACACAGCGCGCTGACACAACAGACCAGCGCTAGGGCTATGAATTCCCAGCGTCTGTGCGATGCCGGCTGGCAGATCATGGCAGGATAAGATGCGAACCTTATGCTATACGACATGATATTACATTATATTTTGCTAGAGTAGTGTTTATTCTAGTGTATATACTATGTATTATATTCTATCAGGTTATATTTGTGTTTTGTATTGTGTGAAAATATATATATATATAACTATATATTTATCTATCTATTTATTGATTTATTTCATTTATTTGTCTTTTTTTGTCTATTCACATGTTGTATTGTATTGTTTTTTATGTATTATATATATGTATATATAGAGAGATCATATACCACTTCAGAGATCAAACCCTACCTCCTCCTGCCTGGCTGCAAGTGGCTGCGGCGTCAGATTGGGCCCTCCGAAGCCTCCTCTGGGCGACTCCGCGTCAGCTGAGTGAGACTCAGCAGCGGGGCCTCCGAATGGGAAAACGACAGTGGAAGGTTGAATTGTCCGTCGAAGGGTTGGTGTCATATAAAAAATGATGGGATAAGTATGGAATATATATATATAATATAATATATATATATCCATCTATCTATCTATCTATCCATCCATCCATCCATACATATATATTTATATATATTAATATGTAATATAATATATGTATGTATGTGTATATATATATATATATCTTAATATGTATATATATATGTATATATATGTATATATATATATATATGTATATATATGTGTGTGTATATATGTATATATATATATATGTGTGTATATATATGTGTATATATATATATATATTGATATTGATATTGATATAACTTGGTGAACTAGGGTTTTAGTTTTCATGGGGATATACTGGAATATCATGGAGTATAATTCCAATTCATAATGCGGATATGGTGGGATATAAGGGAATATAGCGAAATACCATGCAATATGTACCCTCCTGCAGCCACATTTTCCGGTTCGGAAAATGATCTACGAATGGTGGAGTCTTCTACATCTATGTTCATTTACACAAGGGTAGCCACCATGTGTCCCATTTTTGGTGTTTTTTTTTTCAAATGTTCACCCAGGGTTTTGCAGTTTTGCCCTAGTTTATGAATAGCGGGGTGCCAGCAGTAATTTCATGCAGAACTTCTCACTATTTTGAAGGTAACCTCCCAAATTAAGTCGGCCGGGGGTTATTGACAGAGTTGACATTATCCCATCCCGTGTTGAAAAATGTGTTCATTGAGTTTCCAGATTTTTGGAGATAACATGTTGATTTCAACATTTATGCCGGTAAATCCATGGTGCCGCGAGATACTCTCAACCTGGTGAACCTGAGAAATGTCTCAACCAGTATTGTTTGCGATATTTTCAGATTAGAAGTTCCCATGTCAGCACATGTCCATCTAGAATTTCTGGTGTCATATTCAAATGGAAAGAAAAGAGAAGAAAGACAACAGTGCTAATCCATGAGACGAAGACAGGATGGTGGTTCCAACCCAACCCATCTCAGTATAGTCAATTTGGCTATATTCGGATCATCCCTTAAACATGCTAGAAAATCAGCATAACTATGGGCCATAATGGATGTTTCTGGTGGCAATGTCATGGTTGGATCGGACCAGGGCGGCAACCCACCGAGCAGACCAGGGCGCCACACTTGGTCGGATGCGCAAGCCCTGTGGCAAGCCCAGCATGGGATCGCCGCTGTGCATGGCGGCAGTGAACTTTTCCTGGACGGCCAGGGTTGATCCACCGGCGAGCCCCGGCCGACTCACCAAGAAGTGAAGAGTCTTGAAGTACTTCAAGAAGCACCAAAGAAACCCCATCATCATCTATCATCAGTATAGATATCTATAGATTATAGGTACTATAGTATTTCTATAGGTCCATTTTTATGGCCGCATGGTGGTTTCATATGGTTTCATGGTGAACTCTCCATGGCGCACCTGCCATGCCGCCGCCTCGGCCTCTAATTCATCCCATTCATCCGGGAAATGGTCACGTTCCTGGGCGGAACTGGCTTGGGAATGCTTGGGATCCAAATGGTCCCTTTTTTGTCCCACCATCTCCCAGCCGGAAAATTGATGCCTTGCCAAAAATCCCATTGTTTCAAGAAAAACGATGGTTCGCATGAACAATCCAACCTCTACATGTTTATCATTGTTTATCCGAGACTCCTCCTCTTCCAATCCTTCCTCGTCCGCATCTTCCATCGACATGATGTAGGACCACTGCTACACAAGCGGATACAAAACAACTTGGTCAAACCTGGCGGTAGTTTCGTGAAACATTGGGTCCCCTACAAACCGGATGGACGTTCAAGTTTTGAGGTTTTCGCCCCTCGATCTGCGGAACGTAGCAGAGTCATACTTTGGCACCCACATCATGGTTCAAATCTACATTTTTCCCCCAAATCTGCGCATGATTTGCGTCCAGAATTCAGACATTACATTGGCCGTTATCATCGTTCACCTAACTACATGAAATTGGCTGATAATGGGGTACTCCCAATCCCAATGGATTCGTATTATCCTTTTCCTTATTAACCATGACTATTTGGTGGCCCGGTTTGCAGACAAATCCATATCTATCCAAATGGCTGCGAAAAAATTGGCGCGCAGTGTCGACAAATTAGACCCGAAGCTTGGAACATTTGGAACTGGACAGTCCACTCTGGGGGGTTCAATAAATGGGATGGTGTGGGCACCTTTAAACTAATGTCAACCTTGCGTTACTAGACCTGTCTGCCCACTGCAGATCACCAGAACCCCCACTGTTCAGCGTCGATGAACCCAGGGTTGACTCGCATCAAGTTTGGCATGGCGAAAAAGCCCAGTGCAAGGCAAACCTTGCGGGACACTATTGTACCATCCGAAGATCTACCAGAAGTTCTTCCGACCATTTGTCCCGCAAACTAGTTCTTGGCTAAATGAAACACAAATAATCATAGGTGCAACTGCAGTCAACTGCAGTCAACCCCAATTAACATCAATTCACTCCATGCACTCAAAGGTCGAGTTTTTGTGCCAAACATGCCAAACATCATAGACAGTTCAAAAAACTGAAAACCACCCAACATCTGCCAACGTATGGGATTCCATCGGACGCCACCAGGCCCCATTTTCGTCACGCTGTCGCGGCCCACTTTCCGCCGCTGAGAGTTGCACGAATCTTCGTGGATAGGTCTGTGGCTACGGATGATTTTGGGGTTTTCCATTGGGGCCAATCCAAAATGAACGGTTTATCATGGAAAATCCGATCAAAATTCATGAGTTACGGGGACCCCCCATTTTGGGAAACCTCCATTTTCCGTGCTTTTTGATGTTTCTTCTTGGAATTGGATGGTCTTGGGTAGTAGGGGGATACCTGAACCACTGGAAAAGGTCCAAAGTCCAAATTGTTTCCTGTTTTGAGCCCAGGTAACTGGGTAGCCCGAACCAAGCTCATGAGGTGGATTCTATGAGCACAGGTGATTCTGACCCACCTGGTACCTATCCCTAGTCATTAGGCTCCCAGACATCGGGGTATTTGGACCAAAAAAAAACATACAAAAGCGTCATTTCTAGTCTCAAACCATGCATCTGGGTGCAGAATTTTGACCCATGCGGCCATACCATTGCCAATTTTAAATGCCCGGCTCCGTGCCCAAATGCTTCCATTGAAATGGGCAAAGCTTGGTAGCGTCACAGCTCTCAGCGTGCCCCGGCCCACATCAGCCCACATTCGCGGGGATGTAGTTCCAATTTTGGGCATCTCAAAATTCCCCAAGCCCGGCGTTTTACCGTGGTCAGATGATGCTGGAACTCAAAGCAATTTCAGCCAAAATGATGATCAACGAACCATGAAATTTCTGGCCCCCCTATGTTCATAGACAAAAAAGTGCGGTTTTTAATAAGAAAGTGCTCAAAGTCTTTGGGATTTTGAGCCTCGGGAGGTTTGAGAAGCGGCGAAGATGGGGCCTCAGGGGTCCCAGGGCCCTCACGAATGTCTCGCCAACCTCAAGGGATGGGTTGCTCTCAAAGATGTTATTTTTTCGGGGAAAATCCAGGAAAACCATCAAAATATTAGGGTTACATATTATATATCTATATCTATATCTATATCTATATATAATTATATATACATATATATATATATGTGTGTGTGTGTATGTGTGTATATATATATGTGTGTGTGTGTGTGAGTGAGTGAGTGAGTCTAATGAGTTTTCCATCTTGGGTTGTAAAGTGCCCAAATTTCAAAAAGCATGTCCAAGTTTTTGATGATAAGTTTTCGATGATAACCGTCAATAATAAACATAATCAATGTAATCATCCTATACAACTTAACTATACGTACGTACAACTTCCCACTGATTATATAACAATGAACAATTGATATAACCTTGGTCCATAACATTTTCGGAGGAGTGACACAACCAACATGAAGCTGTTAGCTCCCCAGAATTCCTTTTTGAACCTGGCGGCTCTGCAAGATCTAGGCAAAAGCAGAGGTTCAGCCCAACAGCTTGAACACCCTGAGCTGCAGCCAAGCATTCTGCAGCCACCTGACAATACCGGAAAGCAACCAGCCACGGCGTATCTGTACAACTAGGATTAGGTCAGGTCACAGCTTTGATTGCCCTTGGCTTCAAACAGCTTTTCAACTGACAGCTGTCCTGATCCATCCACCTCACTTGCGCAAGGCTTGCCAGTCCTGGTGCTGGTGCACTGACAGGCTGTTGTTCATGGGATCCCACCACAACTTTAAGGGAGTCCCAGGCACCAGGCCCCAAGGGATGCTGATGGTGATGACCTCATTCCCTGGCACCTTGACCTTCAGCAGGTCATCTGGCCCCATCCCCGGCGGCACCGCGACCTCCACCAGATACACCAACTCCTCATGCTCTGGGGCACTGGGCGCTAGAGGCGTTTCTGGCGCCAAGCCGCAGCGACCCAGGAGCAGAAACTTGGCTATGGCCTCTGGTGGGGTCAATTGCAGGGCACCTTGCAGCCACAGCTCTAAGCCCCGGCGCCTCTCCTCCAAGTTGTTTGGGTCCTCATTGGCCTTACGGGTCCACAGCTTGGGGGGCAGCGGCACGCTAGAGCGCACACCCTTCTCGGCCGCCAGGGCCGCAAAGTGGCGGTAGCGCCGTGCCACACGCCAGGGCACACCACCATCCACCGGGTGCACCTCGATCTCGTAGTAGGTGACGTCGCCGCAGCGGAGGCCAGGCAAGGGGATTTTCACCGTGACTCCTGTGAGTTGAGGCGCGGCACCTCCCCCAACGATGATCAAATCCCTTTTCGGAGGCTTGTTCTGTGTCTTCAGGCGAGAAGCGGTCACAACCTCAATGGGCGCGGAGTTGATCATGTTCATCACATCCCATGGGAGGAAATGATGTCGGTGATGGTGGTGCCGATTGTGGTGCTGGTGATGATGTCCATGCTTCCCCCAGTGGAACAGACTGCCGTGGTGGCTGCGGTGGCTCTGGTTGCTGTGGTGGCTGCGGTGGTGGTGGTGATTGTGGTGATTGTGGTGATTGTGGTGGTTGTGGTGATTGTGGTGGGTGTGGTGGACGTGGTGCACCACTGGCGTGTGGTGCACGTGCACGGCGACATGACCATGCGTCATGGCGACTGGGCTGGGCGCACTTGAAACGTTGATATGCGTTGATTAGATTTTGGGCCACTGATGGCAAAAGGATGTTCGCTGTATGCCAGATGCCAGCTCCCAAAACTTGTAGACTCTACGTCTCAAAGGGTCAATTGGATCTGTCCATCCACCCCAAAACAATCGATCGTTTTCCAATGACACAGGCCAACCTAAACCAAAAATGATACACAAGCCACTGACCCAACTTTGCCCTCCGGGAACTTTGCAAACAATTACAAGCTCTGCGCCGCGCCTCTGCACCCATTCATCCACCCTGCGTGAATTGGAAGCTGCGGATTCGCAATGTGGGGATCTGTCAAGACAGAGCCATGTCCTATATTTGAGGGATGAACATCATTTGCCATCATTTGCCATCATTTGCCCACCTGGATTCTCACTAGGGAGCCTTGATTTTGATAGGAAGTACGTGGACGTATATGGGAACTGCAGCACGCCAACAAAAAAGACTTTTAGTGTGGATGCGTCTCAGAGGGTTTGCCGGCCAAAACAAGTTCTGATTTTCTGGGCGAAAAAAACCGGGCCGTATTACCGACTTGAGGGCCTTTAAGAACCATCCATGCCATGCCGGTCACAAGTAAACCATCACCCACTGCCTTCTGAGATACTGTGGACGGTCCCCATTTTCCCGTTGGAAATGTTCCAACTTTTTAAAGGTATCACCCAGTCTCGAATTCAGTGCCGGAAATTCTAAAAACCTGTCAGCGTTGTTGTTGATAAACTTTAGATGATTACCGTCCATTGCCACGATCAATATAATCATCCCATAAAATTCCCATTGACATTGATGGGAAATTGATAACGCTCCATTGTGTTCGGGGATTGTCCAATCATCCCATATACTCCAGTAAGCTAACATAACTATGGAAAAGTGCCCATTTATAGATGATTTCAAAATGGTGCTTTTCTATAGCCAACTCTTAAATTACCCAGAGGCTAGATCTCCAGTAAATCACCATTCAAAAAGTGGTGAAATCCCTTGGAAATCACCAGATTTTCGGTTGCCAACCGGCGTCATTTTTCGTTTGCCAACCGGGTAACCATCCCATGAGGGTATCCCCACCTGGCGTGGCGCAGTGTTGAAGGAGACCATCTTCGGTAGACGCGCAGGTGATTCGACCTGCGGCCAGGTCCGTGACAGAAATCGGTGAGTTGGAGCAAGACGTGTTGTTACCAGATTTACCCTCTGGTAAACTAACATGAGTATGGAAAATCACCATTTTCAATGGGTAAATCCAGTATAAATTGTCATTTTCGATAGCTATGTTAGTTTACCAAACACCATATTGAAGTAGACTTAAGCCACTTAAGCAAGGAAAACTCTGGGTTTCACCGACAAAAATAGGCCGAACAGTTGTGAGTTGACCAACCGAAGATAATAGAACTGCGCCACATGCAAGAATTATGCACATATCCACCAAGGAACACATGCCAAAGAATGATGCGGCACTGAAATGGAAACCGAGTGTAGACTTGGGATTCGCGGCCTCTTCTTCACGCTCCGGTGGATCGGGCCTTGACCCGGCGATGTCAGCAATGTCATTCAACAGTGATACGCCACTTCGGTCGGCTCACTCCGCAATTCGTGCGAATCAAACCCATGTTTTTTGCTCCTTAAACCATTTTGGCCAGTAAAAGTGCAGAAAACCCCAACTTTGTAGCTAAGGGCGCCGCCATGCTTGGTTAAAACCCCAATTTTTTCCTGCTTCCACCACCATTTTGGTCGTTGAAACCACCATTTCACCCCGCCCCGCGCCACGACCGGCCGAGCTCCGCACTGATGGGGCAGAATGATGGAGGGTCGGTGCTGCTCCACTCGAGCAGCTCCGCCGCCTACAGGGGGATGATATGGATATTTGGATGGGTGTACGTGTATGCGTATGTGTATGCATGCATGCAACTGAGCATGTATACGATGTGTATGTGTGCGTGTGTATCTTTCTATCTCTCTCTCTATCTATCTATCTATCTGTCTGTCTGTCTATCTATCTGTCTGTCTGTCTATCTATCTATCTATCTATCTATCGATCTATCTATCTATCTATCTATCTATCTATCATGGATCTACAAAGCCCTCTTTCGTCGATCCATTCGTGTGTGTGTGTGTGCGTGTGGTTTTACCCAAAAATACCATTCAGTTTATCCATTGATCATCATTCTTCCCTATTTCAATCATTTTTTTACTTTCCGTATTAGTTAAGATAAATATATAATTATATATATATATATATATTAAAACAGCCATCACGTGCAGGCCATTCCCCATGCAGGTTTGTTTGAAAATAGGATGTCTCAAAACCCAATGGATCGTCATCATTTTCCCTCGCAAATTGGTATTTAGAGTATAAGGGCCGTGCTTTAGCGAGGGTCAGTATCCAATAGCGGTACTGCGCTACGCAGTGTTCTTGACATGAACATGAAGCAGTTCAGAAGAAGAATATCTGGTTGGTGGTTTCAACCCTTTGAAAAATATTAGTCAAATGGGAAGGATTATTCCCAACATATGGAAAGTCATAAAATTCATGTTCCAAACCACCAATCAGATAGGAGAGCCCAATTTATGGCTGTCTTTCAAAGGCAAAACATGAAAACATGATGAGAAAATATGAGAAACAAGTCGAGGGTGACTGGGTGTTTTGGGGTAACTTGCCTGGCCCGCAAGAAACACTGCATGCCGAAGCACAGCACTGACGTTGCCAGTCCTTGCTGCATCGCAAGATATAATATACCTCATTTTCAGACACACCCCCGGACCGCACTTTCCCCGACACCTGAATCCGCAGCGCCGCTCGTCTGGTGATGCGGCACGCGAGCCGCATCCACATAGTGCTGCAGCCCTCAGTGAAAGTGTCCAGGGCGGAGGTTGTTCCCATTAAAAAAGACAGTTTAGGGGGTGTTTAATATTAGGGGGATAGGATTAATAGTCCTATTCTTGATAGTTAAGTCTGTTGAGTCCCTATTCTTTATTCGTACTGAAGATCTATATCCCATTGAACCCACCCAGGGATTCTTGAAACTAAATAATGTGGTTAAATGCTTGAAGCAATAGTAAGCCATCCCCAAAATCACCATAAATGAGTGGTATTAATAATATTAACCATCAAAATATGGGTGGTTTACTCTTGCTTTCCTAACATTCATGAAACCAATGGGAATCTCAGGATCCTAAAATGGAGGTACTGTACCATATAAGGCCATATTTTCTGGGGATATTCCCTGAAATTTAGGCCTAAAAAATAGGCCTTATATTAATGGAATCGGTACCTCCAATCAATCGGATCCTGAGTCATGGCCATTCATGAAATGCTGCCGAAGGGCGATTCACCATGGTAATCCCATTCAGGAGGACCTTCTTCTGGAGCTCCTTCTCCGTTCGTTCGAACCTCGAAACTTGCGCGCCGAGTTTGGCGCCCGTTGAACTTCCAGGTACCAAGAACTGCAAGGCAGGTAAAATGGCTATGCTAATCTTAGACGTCCAATAGATTCTGCCATCCAAAAATACAGGAATAGTATGGATAATCGCTGTTGAAATATGCCCCCCCCCAAAAAAAAAGGGAACCATTTGACTACCCGACCCAGTCCAGCAAATGGTTTTAGTTCACCAGCAGAACTGGGATCGTGTAACATTGGCAAACTTTGAGAAGACAGTAATTGAGCGAGGCCCAAGCTCATCCAAGAGCCTGTTGTGGATCAGTTCTACCACTTGGGGGTGCAGTTGATGTGCCAAATGGCCAACATTAATTATTGATATAAAACCCCATAAGTTGGGAGATATAACCCTTATAACTTATAACTATGGTTATAGTTATAGTTTAACCATAACTGGAACTGCACTTCCAAGTAGTTGGTTGACAGTGGGGGGCTTCCAGCTCATGGGCCATAAGAATTGTCGTTTTTTCCCTTTTGTTCCCCACAAATAGTAATGTCAACCCCGGATTAATAAACCACGGTTTCTTAATTAGGGTAGTACTCCCCCAATGGTCATAATCTGATACTTAAATGGTGCCCTCCCCCAATCAAACAGCCGTTTGGCGTTTATTCATCCAGGGTTGACATTAATAATACCCTCTGGTTATTTAACATAGCCATGGAAAATCACCAGAAAATGGCCCATAGAAATAGATGGTTTACCGGTTTACCTATTAAACATGTTGATTTTCCATGGCTATGTTAAATAACCAGATGGTATGTGAAGAACTTCTGCCTTTGCCTCAAAAATGCCATAGCGCCCTGGGGGTTGGAGGACTACTTCGGTGACTCAGTGAGAACACCACGGCAGCCAGGTGACATTCGGATGTCCCGGTGCATATCAGATGCTTCCTCCAATTCCTGGACGCTTGGCTGGTTCTGGGGTTTAATTAACATGGCCCCGTTCAAACGACCATTTATGGTTGATTTTCCTTGTAAAAAAAATGTGATTTTCCATAGTTATGTTAATGTACCCAAGGGTACTGTATCATGCGCGTGAGGTATGCTAGGATTCATTGTTGCTCGCTCATTTTTAGTTCAGCCCCTCCCGAATCGGGCTTTCCAGCACCAAAAATAGAGCCAGCCTTTTGGATCCAAAGCAATAAAGCGGGCATCGAAGCTTCTTCACGGCAGTGGATGATTTCAGTTATTCCCTTCGAAATTCCTCTATAAACATCGCTGCAGAGGGATTCACCAACATCTCATCTCACCAGGATTTCTGAATGAAAAACATCAGGAAAATATGAAGACTCCAACTTCCAAGACCCTATGGGACCCCATGGGACAGCTATTTCATGTCAATCCCGTATCAAGAGCCTGACAAGTTGCTGGGTGGAAAAAAACACCAAAATAGTGGCATCAATATCATCAATGTGACATATGTTATCATTCATAGTGCCCGAATCATTCACAAACTGGTGGACTTTTGCCACTTTTGCCTGGATTGACACGAAATCCTTCCATCTCACCCACCTTTGACAGCTCTTTCGCCATGCGTGTCATGCTGGTGTTGGAAAAGCGCAGCAGGCGCCTCGGGCGGTTTAGCACCATTTCAAGGTGTGTTGTGTCACCATTGAAAGATCCGTTGCCTTGGGTTTTTTTTGGTTTTTTTTTAAGGTCATTTAACATAGCCATGGGATTTTTTTTACCCCGTTTATAGACGATTTACCTACCACACATTCGAATGAACCCCCGATGAGGAGTCGCTCTGGATTCCAGGGGATGGATTGATTTCAGTTACTGAGACGGTGCGTTCCCTGGAACTGTTCGCTAGATCCAAAAAACTGGGACAGGGTTCCAGTTCTGCTGATCTGTCGGTTTGTGATGTTTGTGTTGGCCTGGTGTTTTGATCTGCTTCCTGCCGGAGACAATAAGTCCTAACCGGCAGAATCGGGAATCGTTTGAATCTGATGTGTTTCAATGACATGCGAAGGGGCAAGCTGGCTTGAGCAACCATTAGGATCCATTAGGGACCAGCCATGGCCATGGTCAAGGCCAGGTACAGGCGAGTGCTCATGATCTTGAAGGGTGGCTCATCTCTATCCTGCACAGAGCAGAAGGCCAGTCTCCAACACCAACGATGCATGATGCAGGGAAGACAGGGAAGATGACAACCAATAAATATCAATAAATTAGAAAATCTCGTTGTTCACTGAAATGGAGATCCATTGGAAGCAGGCTGTAGATGCAGCCACGGTGATGGTCAGCCAGCTGTCATGGCTGACCCCTGCAGCGGAACACCTGTGACCGAAAAAGTGGTGACCTCCTTTTTGGGTCCAAAAAATGGTTCAAAATCCGAGGGATCATTTGAGAATTTCTTCTATTAGCTGTAATTATGAATCTTATGATATCTTATGGCTATATCTTATGGCTATTTCCATGTATTTCCCATTTTCGGACCCAAACAAAATCGAGGTTTATAGTGATGCTCTGAGATCCAGCCGCCCCGCGGAGAGAGCCTTCGATCTCTTCCGAACCCTCAGGTGATCGTCAGGTGGCTTCGGTGGCGGTCAGGGGACAACATCTTTTGGCAACAGAAAACAACGCCAGAATCGTTGATATCGGTTGATATCGGTTGATATATCATATGGAATGTGTCACATATCGCGCTCATTTCTCTTGAATGTAATTGTCTACTAATGCGGCCGGATGGGCAACCCTTGTTTTTCGGATACGTCATAGACCTTTTCACCCACCCAGTTGGACCAAATCAGCCTAGCGGCCTAGCACTGCAACGGAACCCACATCAGGCTGGGGTGACTGAGTAAAGGTTTGGATTGTGGATGATTGCTTGAGGGCCAAACCTTGGATCCCAAAAATCTCAATCCATGAAGATCCTTCCAAGTGGGGAAGAAGAAACACTTGAAAACACCACTTTGAATCCAACTTCATATGCCATTTGGCATAGCCTGCTTCTAGTGGTTGAAGCTTCACTTTGGTTGAAGGCCCAATTTTGGCATATACTAGTGGCCACCCCACACAGCCGCAGCTCTCAAACTCCAAGTAGCTGTAGTGAAGGGCTACCCCTGGCAGGAAATGCAATGCGTAACCACTTGAACCGCGAACATCCAGAAATCTTCCCAAAAAAAAAACAGCAGCACTCCTCTTTTCCAAGCTTCCTGAGGTTTTGGATGATTACCCTCTGGTAATTTAACATAGCTATTGAAAATCACCATTTTTAATGGGAAAACCATCTATAAATGGGCCATTTTCCATGGCTATGTTAAATTCCAAGGACCTTCCATTGGCGCGCCTGGACACCGCGAGGTTGTAGGCCTCTTGGAAGCGTGACCCGATCAACGCAATGGGCAAGGCAAAGAGCAGGATCCCCGAACACATCGTCACGGCACCTGCGGGAAAGGCTGAGACATGTGAGACTGGGACTTTTGGGACTTTAAAATGACCTGTGATCATCTGAAATCATGGGATAAATACAAAATAGAAAATGATATACAAATCATGGGTGATATATGAAAATGGTGATATACATCTGACATTATCTCTGGGTGATATACATCTGACATTATCTCTGTTCATGGGATATATGAAAATGGTGATATACATGGGGGGTTCGTTTGAAAATGAGGGCTAGCCCTAGAAATTATCATCCGAAATCATCCAGCTATTGGGCCCCCAGGACAGAAGTCAAACATCTCATCTACACGATGCTTGTGGCGTGTAGGTTTAACAAACGTTACTAGAGAGAGAGAGGGAGAGAGAGATGGATAGAGATAGAGATAGAGATAGAGATAGATAGAGATAGAGATAGAGATAGAGATAGAGATGTAAATGTAGATATAAATTTAGATGTTGATATAGATATAGAGAGAGGGGGAGAGGGAGAAAAACAAGAAGGAAAAAAAAATGCAGCTGCCAAAACACGGACTTTCAAGTTCCAAACCCAGCCCGGGAATCTAAAAACACACACACTAACCATAAAAACCAAGTGCGATAATCCAATAATTAATATATATATAATTAATTATATTATATAATCATCCCATTCTAGTACATTTCTAGATTAAAAAAGATTTAAAACTACCAACCTCCAACCAGGTGCATGTCACTACATGTCAGTAACCACCAAACGCCACTCTGACCTGCAAGCTTTCCCCCGGGCGTTTGAGGGATCACGTCGCCATAGCCCACCGTTGACATCGTGACGATGGCCCTGAGATTGCGACGTGGCGTCTCCAGCATCTGGACAAACTGATGTTCCAAGGCTATTTGTCTACTGGCTGGTGGTTTCAACCCCTCTGAAAAATATGAAAGTCAGTTGGGATTATTCTTCCCAATCTATGGAAAAATAAAAAAAATGTTCCAAACCACCAACCAGTGTAGATACTTCCTGATACTTCCGTTCCCAGCCACCACTTCCGGTAGTCGGGCCGTTTTTGTTGGTCCATGTTTTCATCATCAAATCATCAGCCGAGGTGCCACCAGAACGTGGACCTGAGCCGGTCTCCATGAAACACACACATCACTACGAGTGCTCGTGGTTGTCTCCAGCAATTCCCTGGAGACATTGAAAGCCCTCACCACAGAGGCTTTCCTACAATTATGTAAGGTCCAGGTCATACAAGGTGAGGCCTTGCAAAGATCTGACTGGATTTGCCAGGCTTGGGTGAGACTCACTTTGATTAAGAATTGCCAGCTTGCTATTTCAATGACTACTGAGGTTATAAACCATGTTGTCCAGGTATGACTGTATGACCATCAACTCAAACTGCAATCATTACAGCCTGTCAGGATTTTCTCCAAGAAAATGTGTGTATGTGTGCCTCGTTTCTGCGACCCCCTTATCAGTCTTTCCAAGACACAGGATGGATGGAAACTCCAGCGAGACGTTGTTTTCACTGCAGCAGAGTCCAAACTGCGAGATCCGCTTCAACTTATCTGAGCACTCCTGGAAGGGGCTGGCAGATTAGTGGCCTCTGCCTGCCAGGGGCTGATGGACCCAAGTCTACAAGGACAGGTGTGGAATGGTGTGGATTTTTTAACCATTTGGAACACGTGCACATGCCATAATCTCATGGGAGAATCCCTCCAAAAGACCTTGGGGCGCCGCGAAGCACCTCCTGTAACCAACTGCCGCACCGCAGCCGGTCCTCTTTGTAGATCGCGAGTTGGGTGGAATTGAAGTCCCCTTGATCCTGAAGCCGATGGCACAATGGACGGCACTCGTGGATGCACCACCGGGCAACCGGGCAGGGCAGTACAGCTTCTCCACATGGTACACGACACCTCAGCCAGAGGCCAGAGAGGAGAATTTCAGAGTGTCTGAGGAAAAAAATCGGGCCCAAAACTGGAAATGGATCCCCACTTCTGCCACTTCCATTCGAATTTGGCTTTCCAGTGTTTCATTTCTAGATATTTCAAGACCGCTGGCTCCTCCAACAACCAGTTCAATCCATGTGAAGGCAGCCGGTCTTGGATGACATCTCTGGGATAAGGCCTTCCAAAAATGGTCCGCGAGAAGGTGTCCATTGTCACCCTCCGGCAGAAACAATTCAAGAGAAATATGGAAAAGACAGTACACGGATGGGGAATGGTACGTCCACCTTTGATGACACCCTAAATCAACCAAAAACCGAGCCCATCAAATCCCATCCAAATCCACTTTTTGGTCTCTTCCACACCCTTTTTTGGCCAGGGCTTCTCAGAGGATTTGCACCCCCCCACCCGCAACGTTCATTTCCGTCGGGCCGCTGGAGAACAAGACGCTGCCAATGCCCAGGAAGAAGACCAAGACACTCAAGGCTTGTCCGCTGTTGCCTTGGACGTCGAAGGTTTTTTGAGGGGCTAACCAGCCAGGTTAGAGTCGGGATGTGACTCAGATTAATATCACATTATTTCACTTTCAGAAATACATAGAGATACCAAGAATATGATGGGATAAGATTATATAATATTCATCCAAGTAGTGTGGCCAAACCATGTTACAAAAAACACTGCGAATGGATGGTTTGAACACCCAAAATTGGTTGTTTTGGGGTGGGGCCGGGGGGCTGTACCTATTGGGGCTGTTCGGCCGATTTTCGTTGGCATCTCACTCTTTCAATGAGTTACCTTTAGTATCCTTTAGTTGTGTCATAGCCTCTTTTTATGGTTGGTTATTGGGAAGTTGTCTTGTGGCATTATCGATGCCACAGGGCTTTGCCTGTCCAAAATTGAAGCTGCAGTTATAGTTAGATACAACTCCTGAGTAGACACATATTTTCAGATCGTTGCTGGGTTGAAATTGCCGAGTTAGGGTAAGACCATTCCAGTTGCGTGGTCACTGAGATCACTGGGGATGAACATTCCAGCCGCGCCCATGGCTGATAACTGTTCCCGACGGCCGACCATTGAAAACCTTCGGGGAAGTCAACTATCTACTTCCCGAATGATTCATGGAACCTATTGATTCTGTGTGTGAGATCCATCTGTGTGTGCCCCCTATTCGAGCTGATGCCGTGCAGGGATCCATCTAGCCATGATGCTCAGCGCTACCATCATCATCTTCAAGCCGGTGGAATATCGCCCCAGCCTTGGGAGAGGACAGGGCATGAGGATCATGAGGAAATTCCACCCATATATGATCCATATCCTTTTTTTTTTTGCATTCTGGCGCACCACATGGAGAAGTTCAGGATGTTCAGGCATACGCTCCGAAAACCACGTTCATCACTGATCATCACTGGATGTGTTGCCAGCCACCAGCCCCGGAGTCAAATTCAAAACCCTTGAAGTTGAGGCGCTTGAAGATTCGGAAGAGCCGAACCAAGCGCACCGCGCGGATGAAACCTGGAGACAGTGGAAGCGACAGCCAACGACCCAACGACTCAACGGCGCCGCGCCATGCCGCGCCTATGGCCTTTCCAACGTTATTCAGGGCCAAAATCACCTCGGGATCATCAAATTGCAGGAGTTCGCAGGTCCAAGAATGACAAATCTCGGTCCATCCTGGACCTCTGACGTTCAAAGGTTGGAACCCTTTAATCTCTGGAAATGGGGTCAGGTCATCCTTCGAATTCTCTCTTTGTTCAACTTCTACACGCTCAGAGGTCTTACAGTTTCACACTTGCCAAAGGGACCAACAGTTCTGAAATCAAGTAAAACACTGTTTGGATTGCCATCTTAATACTGCACTCAACGCAGCATCCACTGGATAAAATCCATCTCAAGTACGCCCTACATCCAAAACGAGCAACGAAAAAAGGCAGGATCGCCACCACATCCACCACATTCATCGGCGTCCTCGAGTTGCTAAAAAGGTGAGGTGCAGCTGTTTTTTCGGGCCCTCTTAGAGGTGCCAATGAAGAACAATCATCAATGACAATTGACATAAATGACAATAATAATCATCAATCTATTCATGAAGATAAATCCTGGTATCATTCTGAAACGCCGATTAACAATCATCAATGACATGATTCAGACGCAAGATTCTCATAGATTATCAAAAGTACATCACTCATGGTACTCAGAATGTCAACCGTGGATTAATAAAATTAATAAACCCTGCTTATTTTGGGGGGGGTAACCCTTGAAACTGTGACAAATTACTTTTGATAACCTGGGGGGTTGGCAAAATCCTGGGTTTACAGTAGCCCAACAGCTTTCATCATCGTCGTCGTCGTCGTCGTTGTCGTCATCATCATCATCATCATCAAACACTTATTGAAGATTTTCAATGAATGTAGAAGTTTAACGGGGTTGGGAGAATTAAACCCTTATTGAAGATCTTCAATGAATGCAGAAGTTTAACGAGGGTGGGAGAATTAAACCCTTATTGAAGATCTTCAATGAATGTAGAAGTTTAACGGGGGTGGGAGAATTAAACCCTTATTGAAGATCTTCGATGAATGCAGAAGTTTAACGGGGGTGGGAAATTTATATTCCCTAAATACCCTTGTTGATCTTCCCAATTGAATGTAAAGTCTAACGTTTGATATCCCCAAGAGTACAGCATAGAAGGGGTGTGGGCGATACGGGGTGTTTGCGCGTAGAGTTACTATAATGATAACTATAGCAATGATACTACTACTAGTTACAACTATAATCATCATCATCACCACCACCACGGGTTGTGCCTTATGAAGGTCCAAGGCGATACCCCAGCCACGTCACAGACCTTGGCCATGATTCGAAAGCCAGTGGTGGTTATGGATCGTTCAGACCCTGGGACAACCGGATACCCGGATGGTATCCCAAAATAGCTGGTGAATGGATGTGCATTCCCCCAAATATGGTAAAATAATGTAAAATGATAGGTTTTCACCCATCCTATGCGATTGAGGGGGGCAAATCACGAAATTCAAACCATGTAAAAGAGAAAAAGAACATGAAACCACAAGTTGAAACCAACATAATGAGGTTGCACAGATAAGGGGTGTTGGCGTGGTGTTAGCACTCAAGACCCTTTCTCCCCAACACTACACCCTGAAATGGTCGCATTGGAAAAAAACCTGAATGCTGCTCTGGAAAACAAATCCGGCTGGTTGGTACTAAGTTACTACGTGGCACTGATGGGTTTGGAAAATGTTCCTACATGATTCTGCAATATAGTCATGGTAGGGCATAGTTCATTTTCCTTTGAGAAAAGTTTAGGCGTGTAACTCTTGCAAATGTCCAGCTTTACTGCGGTGTTGATCTCCACATGTCTCCACGTGAAACCCCAAGGTTTGTAAGATCCGTGGCTTGACATGTTGCCCACGTTGAACGCCCCAGGCACCAGCAGGCGAACGATGTACTCGGCCATGAAGACCACCGTGAAAAAGCCTTCAGAGGCCAACCTCAGGTTTCCGACGAACAGAAATGATGAAGTTATAGTGAATATCATGATGTCTCATTAAATGTCCTGTTATAACCAGTTATAACCAGTTATAACCAGTTATAACCAGTTATAACCAGTTATAACCAGTTATAACCAGTTATAACCAGTTACAACCAGTTACAACCAGTTATGGTTTCCAACCACTAAGGAACTCAATAACCGATCATTATTTTAAATATGACTGGCACCAACCAGTCATATGTTTCGAAGTCTTTCACCCAGAAAAAAAGCTGAAGCCGTTGACGGATGGTCGCTGGATAAAATAGCTTGCTATAGTTGGGGATATGGGATATAATCTATATATAATTGCTGGTTGGTGGCTTTTGCGAGTTGCATATTCCCTATTTAGCATTCATGTCATGACTTTGCAATTGTCATTTCAATCAATGGGCATTTCACCATAGCCCTTTTTCCAAGCTCAAAGATCGGTCGGAAGACCGGTGAATCCAACGTGAAGGACTTTGGAAAGAGAGTTAAAAGCGCAGGACCACTTGTCTGACCGTGGAGGACTTTGTGTGTCTAACGCAAGGAGTTTGAGGTGTGGACTAGTACCTGGCTTTTCTGGCCGCAGACGTGTCAGGACTGTCAGTGCTAGTACCCCCGATAATATTACCCGGGTGAACCTGTCGCGAACAGGTTATGAGCCCAACGCATGGGGACTCTGCTGAAATGATGCTCAGAAGAAGAAGGTCTGAGCCTGATGATGAAGAGTCAAAGAAAGACCAAACAGCGTCAAGCACCCGGGCAAGCGCGAGGAACCAAGGGGCAGAGATGGCTCTAGTGGCAGTGGATAGGGAAAGGGTTGGAAAGCCTTCACCAAATGGTCCTGTTGGGGAAGATATGAAAACCCCCTTGCCAATAGAAGACTTTCCAGCAGAACCTGTAGGATCCCCTAAGGCCCTAGGACCTAGGAACCTCCAGCCACTGTTCAATGAAGCTCAGCTAAAGAAGGCTGAGGAGCTCAGGTTGAGTGCACCACTTTTGCAGGGCCCAAGCCCCACCGCAGTAAGCCAGTCCACCGGCGGATGGGATGGGGGTTTGGCGGCAGGGAAGGTGGGAATGGGGAAGGAAGCTGACATGTCAGAGGGACCATCAAGGAAGGGCCCGGAAGTCTTGATGATGTCACCAATGGGATATCCCTTAGCACCTCAACATGGTTATGGATACGTGCCACACCCCACACAACAAGGAATGTTTGATGAGATGATGTGGCAGTTTCGACAAGAAATGGGACAAATGTCAAAGTCTCTCACCCAGCTTCAAGAAGAAAATTTGAGGTTGAGGATTCAGCTTATGGAAGAACGAGAGACTAGATACACAACACCTCCCGATGTCACTCCTGCTGAAGGTCTCCGTGACAGCGCCCGCCGTCAGAAGGTTTCAGGAAAGAAGCCCAAGTCCAAAGGTGTAGAAGCCAAGCAGGAAGACTTTGAAGCTTCGAAGCCAAAGGAGGCTGCAGGTCGAGGAGAACAGGAGGCTGAGACCCCCAAAGCAGAGGAGGAAGTGATTGGAAGGAAGCTTGAAGAAGTTTCTAAGGAGGATGGTCCAGCTGGACAGCAAGAGTCCAGTGAGGAGAGTCAATCGATTCAAGAAGAGGAGTCGGAAGATTCAGTGAATGTGAAAGATCACAAAGGAAGATCAAAAAAGGAGGACACCACAGTGGACGTGATGCTCAAGTTGATGCAAGGGATGCAATCGCTGCAACAACAGCTCTTGGATCGAGAGACGATCAGGGGCCGACGGCTAACAGAGGACGATGAAGAGGAGCATGTGAGGAGCAGTGTAGAGCTGCACAAACTGCCGGAGTGGACAGCTGAGAATGCTCCGGTGGACTTACAGGACTGGTTGCTTCTCATCCATGCACAGATGTCGGATCTCACTACCAGCAGTTCAGAATGGTGGGATCTAGTGGTTGAGACTGCGAAGGACTGGTACCACAAACACCAAGCCATGAAGCCCATCGACAAGCTGAAGCATGAAGTCAGGGCACCACCGCAACTACAGCAGAAGAAATGGAGAAGGTTGGAGAAGAGAGGAAGCAGTTTGCTTCTTCAGGCCTTGCCCAGTAGTCAGCGTGATGACATTGTGGCAGGGAAAGACCTTTCAGTGTTGGCGATTTTGGCAAAACTCCTCAACAACTACCAGCCTGGTGGTTCCCATGAAAAAGCAGCAGTGCTGGCCGCTTTGGAGCTGCCGGCAGAAGCGGTGGGGATCGGCGAGGGCATCCTGGGACTACGTCGTTGGTTGAGATGGAAGAAAAGGGCAGAAGACATGGGCCTTCAGTTGCCCGATCCATCGGTCCTTTTGAGGGGCCTGGACCGGCTGGTCTCCAAGATTTTGGCTGGCAATCCAACCTTGCAGTTTCGCATTAACCTGACGAGGACAACACTGATGGTGGATTCTGTGCCCACTATGTCTTCCATTGACCAGTTGGCCGAATGCTTACTGGCTGAGATGGACCAGGTCTCCTATGCCAAAAAGAAGGAAAAGGCAGCCATCGCAGGAGTTCCTAAAGCTCGGAAGATGGAGGAGGCAGGAAAAAGAAGCGAAGTGCCTCAAGCCAAGAAGGGCGATGAGGGTAAGAAGGAGATGCCAAAGTGTAAGTACTTCCTGACGGAGAATGGATGCCGTCGAGGAAAAGCTTGCAGATGGGATCACAACCAGAAGGATGACCAGCGTCGCTGCTGGAATTGCGGGTCCACAAAGCACTTCTCCAACAAATGTCCAGTGAGTGAGGGCCAAGGAGAAGTCAAAGTGGCCAAAGCTGAAAAAGATGGCGAAGCCAGAAAGAAGAAGAATGATGAGGAGGACAATCAGTCCGACCGAGCAGTTGCTGGAGCGGACGATATGAAGAGTCTACTGGAAGAAGCTGGAAAGATGCTGAAGGTGATTCCAGGAGCTTCGCAGGAAAGCTCATCGGTTGAGGAGACCGGTGATGCCAAAATCAGGAGACTTCAAAGACAGCTGGATGAGCTTCGAGCTTCTTCGGTGAGAGTGCTGCGATTGGCCAGGGTCCAAGCAGCTGTGGAAGATTTGGGACTCCTTGACAGCGGAGCTACCCATCCTCTTCGACCTCCAAAGAAAGATGAGGATCTGTCCAAATGTCAAAAGGTGAGGATCAATCTGGCCGGAGGAAAACAAACAACGATGATGCTTTCAGAAGGTGGTGCCATCATAGGCTCTGAGGATGTGGAGCCCATCGTGCCACTGGGAGCGTTGGTGGAGAACTTGGGTTGCTCTTTGCAATGGACCGAAGGCCATATGGTCTTGTATCACCCCTTCAAGGGGCAGATTAGCACCCAGCTCAAAGAAGGCTGCCCGATGATCAACAAGTCTGATGCTTTGGAGTTGATCGAGGAGTTGGAAAAGAAGGCACCCAAGCTGAGGAGTGTAGAAGGATCCGCAGCTGAAGCCTACATGCACTGGATGAAGCGCTTGGTAGAAGAACACCCAGCACTTCAAGGAGTTCCAAAAAGAATCACAGAAAGGTTGGTGATCAGCCCTAAGGAAGGACATATCACCGGAAACCGAAGCCGAAGAAAGCTATGGAAGAAAGAAGGAGGTGTGACGTTGCACCTCTACTCAGGACCCAATGAAGGGTATACTATGGCCAAGGCCATTCAGCTCCTCGGAGGAGAGAAAAGAAAGGTCATAGCGGTGGACATCAAGAACGGAGCCAAATGGGATATGATGGAGGATGACCTCTATGCTGAGCTCATGGACATGGTCATCAAGGGCCAAGTGGAGTCCCTGGTGATGTCTCCAAATTGTCGCACTCGCTCAAAGCTCCGACACTGTGAAGTTGAAGGAGTTGATCTCCCCGGACCGGTCCGAGAGTGGAACGGTGGAGAATGGGGAAAGAAGGGCATCGGAGAAAGAGAGGAGAAGAAGTGCCATGAAGATGATGTGATGCTCTTCAGAGGACTCATGCTCTACATGGTTGCCCAGGAGATCAGGAAAGCATCCCGCCACACCAAAGACATCGACCTTGTCTTTGAGCACCCCAGCACCCCGGCAAACATGCCACAGGTGGTATCGTTCTGGTCCACCCCCCAATGGCAAGCACTCAAGCAAGCATACGGCCTGTGGGAGATCCACTTAGACCAAGGGAAGCTTGGAGGAGGAGGGGTCAAACCCACAACGTTGGGCGGCAACTTGCGCATGCAAGTACCCAGCGTGGTCGTACCAGCACCACAACCTCGATGCACACATGGCAAAACAAAAGAGCAGATAGTGCAGGAATCCCAAAGCCTTTCCAGATGGGTCCCTCTGCTTACCGACATGGTAGCATGCGCCCTGCTGGAGTCCCAAGGGATCACCCCGAAGTTGAGATCCTGGAGGACACATGTCCAACGATGCCACCAGCCTTTCAGAAAAGACTGCAAGGTATGTCAAGAGGCTGCAGCAAGAGCGAGACCTCACCGGCGTCAAAAACTTCCTCCAAGAGCTGGCGTTCTTTCGGTCGACATCGCCGGACCACTCACCAAAGCTCCAGACCTGGGCAAAGACCATGCTCGTTTTGTCCTGGTCGCGGCGTTCACCTGGCCTACAGGCCTGAAGGGTGACGACTTAGAAGAGTTGCCCGAGGAGGATGATGAGGATGATTTCCCAGGCTGGGAAGAAAATGAGGAGAAACCAAAAGAAGAGATAGGGTCCCAAAAGCCAGGAGCCAAGAAGCGAGGCAGGCCAAGGAAGAAAGACCCTGAGGAGGAGTTTGAGGAGCTGCTGAGGAGAGAGCAGGAAGAACAGAAGCAGAAACGGCAGAAGGAAAAGGAGGCTGCAGAACCCCCAGGAACTAAGGAGCCCTTAAAGGAGGCCGCAGAACCCCCAGGAGTTGAGGAGCCCTTGAAGGAGGCTGCAGACCCCCAGAAGAAAGATGATGATGAAAAGGAAGGGGACTATATGACCCGGGTGGCGCCCGATGTTGAATATGAGCCCACTGAACCGGGCGAAGACCCTT